TCAGTTCTTCCTGCCATAATTTGCAAGGGTATTGAATGGGAAGTTGATGTAAGAAATGGAATGTGACCCTGTTGTTGTTTGTACTGATCAGGTGTACCCCAGGCACCGGGCCCGACCCAGACTGTGACCCCAAACTTGAGGCTGAGGTGGTGAAACCAGACAAATGTGGCAAAATGAAAGACCCTGCTGGACCCTTCAGGTAGTTATTGACCTGCTCCGTACCTACTGTACCATAGGGGCTAGGACCCCTGTGTTTGATTTGTTCTCATATATTTGCATTAATAGTCAGTATTCTTAGATATGTAATCTTGCATCTAGGGACTTAGACTGACAGCTTTAGTCATCAGGCTTTATGTTCTTGGATTGTTTTTTTGAAATCAAGTAAACACCTGGACTCTGAACCACACTAAAGCACGCAAACACACAGACTCACACAGTTTCATGGCTTCATGGTCCTGACCCTCAGGTTGGGAACCCCTGACCTCAGTGTTTTCTGCCCGTGCAGTGTACGGTGCAGTGATCACACTGTACTTACAGTGTATTTGTTCAGCTCAGTTAGTGAACATGTTTAGAATGCCTCATCTTCAGAGCCACCGTCACTTTCTCAGATTGGGTTATCCTCTCCCCGAATGTGGGTTCATGTCTTTCATAAATCAGTTCTTATATATTTGTACGTTTTCCGGGGAAAGAGCTGTGGTCTCATGGTACGGGTGAAATCAGCAGCCTGCCAGTAGTTCTGAGATGTTTTCTGTCACACAGGAGATATTTGGCTTCTGTCCGTTCTTCACTGAACTTGTACCGTTGTCCGTACGCTGCTTTCTCCTCCCAACACTGAGTGAGTGGTCCTCTCTGTTCCAGGGAGTGTATAAGTGTGGTGAATCCCACTCCGTTCTTCCAGAGCTGTGTGTATGACATGTGCCAGTTCAACGGCCAGCAGCATGTTCTGTGTGACCAGCTCCAGGCCTACACTGATGCCTGCCAGAGCGCTGGAGCCAAAGTCCACCCGTGGAGGACTCCAGACTTCTGCCGTAAGTCTTCAGTGACCTAAGACCTTTCTTTGGATTCGTCATGCAAGTGAGCTCGTAGTGACGCTGTTACAGTTTTTACATTAACTTCATCCCATTTGCAAGAATCAGTCTGTGGCTGCAACTATTCATTCCATGCAGCTTAACACAGCACCACCTCATCAGAAGAGTATACGCTGGCCTTAAGCCAGTAGGTCACCACTCCCACATGTCATCCCTCCCTCTCGCCCTCTGTTCCTCCTGCAGCCCTGGCCTGTCCTCCCAACAGCTCCTACTCTCTGTGTATGAGTTCGTGTCCAGAAACCTGTCAGGGTGTGGTCGGACTGCCCGGCTGTGAGAACGTGTGTGTGGAGGGTTGCGAATGTAATCCAGGCTTCATCCTCAGCAACGAAAAGTGTGTGGCACTGAAAGACTGTGGCTGTGTGGACACCAGTGGATCCTATCACCCTGTAAGT